TAACTCTCCCGCAGGACATCAAAAAACCCCGAAACAAGTCCTATTCTTCCTTTCCGATACACCATTTTGTTGTGGTGTATATGTCGCGGTAGTTTCATGTACTATACCTATCGATTGGAAATAACTTGGATTAAAATATTCACCACCTTTATCGATTCTTAAACTTTTGATTTTACTGTCTGTTTGCAATTCTACTTCATTCTTGTATATTTTAAATTTGTCAAGGGCCTCATCCTTAGAATGCAATAAATAAACATATCAAAATCTTGAAAAATCATTAGTGAAAGTTGCTAAATACTTTTTGTTGCCTAAGGAAGGTGTGCTATGAAAATCACATAGATCACTATGCACTAAATCAAGGAATGCATTATTCTTTTCTACAACATTAGAAAATGGTTTCCTTGTGATTTTTGTTAACGTACATGTCCTACACTTCTCTATCCTTGGATCAAAAGGCGGAACTAAATCATGCTTTTACATAAAATATAACTTTTTATAATTGACATGTCCAAGTCTTACATGCCATAGAGAAGAGCAATCATTAACAACATACAAATTGTCTTTCAAAATATTAAAATACTAAGTTTAAACATTCCATCACACAAGTAACCAAGTCCTACAAATAAACCACCTTTAGACAATATAAATTTATCTGACTCAAACACCATTTTAAATCCTAAACGATTCAAGATAGCACCAGACACTAAATTCCTCCTAAGCTCGGGAGCATACAACACATCCCTTAGAATAAGAGATTTTTCCGAGCTAAACATTAACTCAACTTACCCGTTGCCTAGCACTTTTGCGGTGGAGTCGTTCCCCATGTAAAGAATCTCTCCATTGGTCACCTCAACGAAGGATTTAAACAATGCAAACATGCCTCGATGCACCCGAATCGATGTACCAAGAAGTATCACCCTGCACACATAGGATTTCAGAAATCACACAGAAATAATTCATTAAAGAATTAAATTAAATTCATGTACAAGAATTACCTTGCTTGTCTTGGGATTGGCTAAAACCGCCTTTCCCACCTTGAGCTTTCTTGTTGCTCATCTTTTTCTTCCAAATGGTACAATCTTTTTTAAAATGTCTGGGTTTTCCACAAACCCAAGCTCATGATGTTTAACCACCACTTCCCACTTTAGGCTTTTTGCCTTTATTCTTGTTTGAGTCATTTCCTCTCTTCCTCTCATTAGGCTTAGCATCCTGCACCACATTTACCGTAGTAGTTAACATCCTTTTGTCCCTCTTGCACCCGGATTTCTTCCTCAATCCAAATATAAGAGGCCAAGCCCTCAAGATTAATGTCATCTTTCTTATGCTTTAAAGAATTTCGAAAATCTTTCCATGAGGATGGTAGCTTATCAATTATTGAAGAAACAATAAAGGTCTCATCAAGATTAACATTGTGTTGTCTAAAACTCCCTAAAATTCTTTGGATTTCATGAAATTATTCCATAACTGGCCTACTATCAATCTTTTTGAAATTATTGAACTTACTAACAAGAAATTTCTTGCTAGATGCATCCTCGGCCATGTACTAGACTCTAGTTCATCCCAAAGCAATTTAACGGACTCATGAAATTGATAAACATCAAACAATTCATTAGTCATACCGTTTAGGATGTGACACAACATATGTAGTTGTCATTCTCCCACTTGTTTCTCTTTCTAGTAGCCTCCAATATCTCGTTTTCCTCCACCGATGGCTTCGAGGATGTGAGAACATGAGCCACACCGAGTGATGTCAACAGAAAATGCATTTTTTTTGCCAACTTCGAAAATCCACACCCTTGAACTTGGTCAACTTCTGGAAATTAGTCATCATTTCCTTCATATTTGCCATCTTTGTAGTGAATTATACTTTTGGACTATTGGGGATTTTCTAGTAAACAAGGGTCACAAAGAAATGAAAATGAAATTATTGGAAAAATCTTCGAGGCGTGAACGGGATCACTTTCCCAAAAGTATAATTCCGACCCTATACTACAACCGGGTATCACGGAAATAACTCAGGAGGTACAACGAAGAACAATTACAATAACATGTAGGATTACAATTCAATGTATAAAAGTGTTTGTGATTTTGTGAAAATGAACAACTGATAATAATTCTCTATGCCAAAGTGATAAGATAGAAATTATATTTCATCTCTCAACCTTAATTCATCATATGAGAAGTTTCTCATATATATAAAGATAAGTAGTATGTGAATGCATTAAGTATTGAAATCGAAGCTGAACAATGCATTAAGTATTGAAACTTAAACAATGCATTCACTAAAAGGTATGAAACCAAAACAATGCATTAAGACATGTCTTAAACAATGTATTAAGACATGCATTAAACAATGCATTTAGTCATTAATTAACACATTAAGTTATGATGTATTAAGAAACTGCCATACTAATACAAGAGATATCGAAACTGAAATCTTATATAGCGGTTGCAACATAATTAGTGACGAATCAACCACTTTCTTTCTTTCTCTTGATTACTTATATACTACTACCTTAATCATATGTTGTCTAAGTCATGACACCTTGACCAAATGACTTAAACTTAATATAACATGAATAATAATCAACAAAATACTCTAAATTCTCCAACAAATTAGATGAATAAAATCCAGTCTTATTTACTAGCTAGACAATGATAAATGGCATACGTATGTGTCAGAAAACAAAAGAAGTAAATTAACACGTTTATTTATTGCCACAGATATGCGGCAGAAAGTATAAAGGCAGCTTGTAATTGGGCATACAAAGATGTTGATGAAGACTCAACGCTAGAAGATAAGCCATTCAGCATTGGTCTAGTGAAACTAAAGGAACTTATGTTCTACTATCTTAATTGACCTATAATCTATTCACTTACTGCAGATGATTACTTCTTTTCTCGATTACCAATAGTTAATCAACGATTAGCACAAACCGAAGTACGATTAGCTGCCACACTCAATCGAGTGTTTACTTAACAACTAAATTATATTGCTGTTCTTTGTAGCAATTTTTGAATTCGAATTTAGTAGGCTTCTAATAAAGGTTGGCTTATATTGGCAAATCGAGCGACTATAATAGATTTCTTGTTATATTTACTCTTATACTTGACGCCAATTCATTACTCAATTTTCTTTTTGTTTTGACTTTTTTTTTTGTGTGTGAGATAATTACCATCCAAATAGAAAGAATTTAAGGAAAAGCATAAGATATATGACTTTTGCACATGTCAATTCATCAATTTAGTGGATTACAAAGTTTCTTCATTGTTGATACCTCCAAATAAGTGGTCTGGAATTTTGGATCCAATGATAGCGCTTGTATACAAATGATTGATAGGGAAGGTGAAATCTACGAATTACATAATTCTATAAGTAGAAGTTAGTATTTTATTGGCAATGTCAAAGCTCACTTGGCTATTATTCGTGTTGTTCTCTCTTATTTTTCAATGTGGGACAAAAACTCTCAAGTTATACGTGAGTAATTTTTCCATCGATTGATAACTTATCTAACGTGTTTTCCAAGATTCTTCATACATGTATCTTAATACACTACGTGTATGTGTAGCTTTGCTCCCATTTTAGTAGTAATGTATCACCTTCCCATCTCTTTTTGTTTCAACCAAATTAGCTCAAGCATGGGCTAATTCATAGGATCAAATCAACACTCTTTATCCAAAAAGGTAAGTAAAGTAGGCACGTAGCAATGTAGTTTGAGAAGAGACTTTTATGTGCACTAAATTGTTGGAGTGAATTATACATTTCATTCTCTGCTTTTTTTATTTGATAAGTATCCACTATTTTTCCATTTTCAAGTAGTGATTTGTGAATATGAGTGCAATGATCAGCATTTCCCCTTTTGCTTACTTCTTGTTCTTCAACACTTGTCAATACTAAATGTGCGTAATTTATTAATTTGCAAATTTACATTAAGAATGTATAGACACACTAAGGAATGTTGTATAGACGGGATTGGATCACAGATGTTACATAGGCTAGTTGGTGTTCACACTCCCCATTTTGTGGAAATACTTGGTATAAACCATGCATATGCGGATATGCCCATAATATTACAGTTATTCCCACACAAAAGAGCATCTCTTTGCTTTGCCATTTTCTTTATCAATCTATCCTGAAGAAGCATAACTCATGATAAAAGTTAGAGACAGATTCTTGTTTTTTGCTACAGATATGATAGCAAGAGTCAACATAAATTGCAGAAAAGTTAGAAATATGAAATGTAACTCCATATATTTCAAGGATATGCCAATTTTCCTAGAGTTAAACTCCATGTTTAAGATAACAAAGCACCCCTATATATACAGATAGCTTCTTCTCAGGTAAAACTCGTGAAAGGCAATCGACTCACAAAATTGGAAGTGTAGGCATGCATTTTTCTGAGTTGTCATTACATGAAGCAAGCGAATTAGTCATAGGGCGAATCTTCCTTGGCATGTGATGAAGCAATGGCCTGGCCTTGTTAAATTGTTATCACTTGCCAAAGGAGAGTTGCCCTGTGACTCCTTCAGCTTGATGATTTAGTGTAACAGCAGTTTGCTGTTATTTCTTGTTCTGAATTTTATCTGCTGACAGTAATGTTAAATTAATTTCATCAGCAATAACAATGTTTTGTCTTGCTTTTCATTGATTACTGCTTGTTTGCTTTGGCAATTGGCTACTTCTGTGTTCTGAGCATTTTACATGTACAACTACAATTGAGTTACAGCGTTGCTGCCATACCCTGAGTTGGCCATACCCTGAGTCAACAGCAATTTATTATAATGTACACTTATAAAAACACTCTTTGCTGCCGCCACTGTTGTGTGATGTAATATATCTCCCTAATTCCATAGCTTATTTTCTACTCCCTTTGTCACCATGTAAAAGTTTCATTTTCCTTTTGCACGTTTTTAGAAAGATGAAGATGATGAGGATAGATTGATTAAGTTGGATAAAAAAAAAAAAAAAAAAAAAAAAAAAAAAAAAAAAAAAAAAAAAAAGATAGTAGGATTTGTCTGATTAAAAATAAATAATATAAAAATAAGAAATGGAGTTTGGTAGATAAATTGAGACTTTTATTTAGAGACAAAGGGAGTATTATGATGTTTATGTATGATAACTGAACTTGCTAAATGGTAGTGATAGGATTGCTATTACTAATGAGATCAATCTGCTGGTTGTGGGATGACTACTTTCTGGGACTTATATAAAGTTTTGGTGCAGCTTTTCAGTATGCTATTCATTTTCAAAAAAGGTATGCTATTCATTTTCAACTCTCTGAAAATCGGCTTTGAGATTGAAATCATAACGATGCTGTTTCTTGAATTACTGACAGAAAAGTTTGCCCGTAGTAACATTGATGCCTCGTGATCATATTGATTTTTTCTGTAATGTGTTAGAGAGAATATTAAGTCGCATTGTTAGTGGAAACATAAGTTACCATTCTAAGACTTCTGAGCAGAGCATATAGCATATTTCAATAGCTAAACAGACTTCAGTGTTTTGTATAACATTCAGTTTCTCACTGACAGGAAGTCACATTACATAGCATTCACATAGACTGGTTTCAGTACTAACAACTAATATGTTCATACAGGAAAAAGAAAAGGAAAAAAGAAAAGAAAACATTAATAACAATTTGCAAATTAATCATTGAGGTATTGTAGCTACTTGCCTACTTTCCTTCCCTTTATCCCCTCAGTTGCATGTGTTAAAGTTCAACTTCGTCATTCTTTTCAAAGGCGGTCTAGTAAAGAAGAGGAAAATTGAAGTTTGCTTAAGAAGTTTTTTCTTTTTATACTGAATATATATATATTAATTCTTAGAAACGACTATGTCATTATTAGCTAAATGATCCATCTCTAACACAAATTCACCTAGTTACATATAAAAGGTAACAGCAGAGGTTATATTCGACGAAATTTCCTTTGACTAACCACTATAAATATTGAGCTCCCTGATGACACCTTTCCTTCCTAGTATGGGTGATACTTCATTGAGTCGATGAGTTTGTATCTGCAAGTATGGCATGTTTGATTATTAAGACTATTGCTACACATTGCTGCAGAAATACTATTGATAGCAAGTAAAGTAGGCAATCCAAGCCTGCACTAGTTAATTTACCTGTAAAGCATTTTTGCAGTGATATTTTTGTTTCGTTGTTCTCAAACTCCAACTCATCAAACCACTTTCTTTCTGCTCTTACCTCAATTAATCTTTGCAAGCCTTCAGGCCCTATGGGAAGCTTGAGGCATGGACATGAGAGCACTGTTAGATGTTCCAAAGTTGGAAAAACAAGAAGGAACCATGGTTGAGTAAGGCTTCTGATGTTCTTCAAATGTTGTAGCTTTAATGATTGCAGCTGAGGAAAGATGGTATGGGTATACTCTATCCCTGTGCAGGTATTATTCAGCTGACCTGACGACGTACCCATCTGAATCTCATGATCTTCAATGTAACCAATTACAGCTTCCATAACATCGCAATTTGATATCTCCAAGTATTGCAGCTGATTTAGCATTTTAGCAATAGCTAAGGGGAAGAGAATCTTAACCAGTTTACACTCCTCAACTTTCACATGTTTCAAGCTCTGAAAGCTTGTAGATGGAGCTACGCCTCTCCATAGAGCTGTCAAACAAGGGGCAACTCGGACATGAATGTTTGTGAGTCTGGGAAGCACATTGCTTTCAGGCACAATATTATTGGAAAGAAACACAGTATCCAGTTTCAGGCAAGAAAAAATTTGGAGCTCTTGCAGACCTTGAAACCTTTCGAACAATGTAGATGAAAGAAAAGTTTGAAAATGACACTTTTGAATGTGTAGGTGCTTCAGTGGTTGAAAACACTCCAACGGTAACTCTTCAAGACTTGAGAGATTCTTCCAGTTCACTACAGAAAGCTGCTCTGTCATTTGTAGGAAGCTCTCCAGCCAGTTCATGAAAGGCTTGGGTACTCCAAAGTGAGCTGCTATATTGAAGCACATGCTTTTGGCATAAGTACTCCGCCAGTCAAATTTATCTCCTACATGTATGTGAAACTTGTTTAATCTAGGCTGGCGATTGATAATCTCTTCAACTAGACAAGCAAGATTTCCTACATCGATGTGTAGGGTATTAAGATGATCCAAAGAAAGAACTTCAGCCAGAGTAGCTTTTCTCTTGCTTGTCGTTTCTTTTATCTCCCAACCACTATAACTGCCTCCCATGTACAGTTCTTCCAAACGTACGAGGCTTGGAAAAACATTAGCTGGAATTTCATCAAATTGGGATTCACTCAAGTCTACTAAACGGAGCTTAGTTAATCTTTTTATCTCTTCTGGAAACCTGTCAAATGAGGACTTCCGCAGGCTAAGAATTTCAATTGATTTCAGCTCTCCAAGTGCAGATCCATCTTTCAGATTATTGTTTTCCACACAAAGAGTCTTTAAGTTTGTGAGAAAAGAGAGTGAGGTAGGTAATGCCACCAGACTTGGCATATTGCTGAGATCAAGTACTTGGAGTGCTTTCATCCCAACAAAGAAGTCATCTGAAATAGCCTTTAATGATGTATTATTTTGCAGCAGCAGTAATATGAGCTCTGGGTATTCTTCTTGTTCCCTGAGCATATTAAACTCGTTGTTGATCAAAGACATCCTCATAACATATTGCAAGTTTAAGTTGCAAGGCCACTCCTTCAAACCTGAGCCCGCCTTTACCATGAAACTGTAATCATTACCGGAAGAAATTAATATGGCCAAGTCACGAAAAACATCGTGCATTTTTACACATTCTTCATTCTTACCACTCAGCAAAAGGCAAGAAGCTTTTAGGTTACTGATTATAGAATGTACCCTGTTCCTTGCCTGGTCCAGAGTTAAATCATCAGAAAACAGTCTATCACCAATTCCATATCTCAAAAGATCTTCAACACAAACATCATAATCTTCAGGAAAGAGGGCACAGTATAGAAAGCATATTTGAGACTCTTCATTATGAAACTCATCAAAACTTAGCTTGGACATGAGAAGACCTTTTCATGCATCCCTTTGATGTTCAACGGTCTTGATTGTCGCAGTTCATACACTGCATCATCCCAAAATCTTGGCTCTTTATTCCTTAAAACCCTTCCTAGTGTCACCAAAGCTATCGGCAAACCTCCACATTCCTTAGCAACTTCCTTTGCCACACTGTTCAAGTCAGGTGATTCCACAACATCTCCTGCAAACTTCTTGAAAAGTTCCCATGAATCTTGCTGAGAGAGGGGTTCAACTATTATACTAACATTGCAATACATCTCACTGCACACATCTAGGTTTCGTGTAGTTATCGCAATTTTACAATTACTTCTATCCTTCCCAGAAGAAATGCCTACCCAGGACAAGTCCAATCTCTCCCACACATCATCCAAAATTATAAAAGTCCGTCTTTCTTGCTTCAGCCTTTCAGCCAGTCTCAAAGATCTCACATGCTCAGTTTCCTCTTTCAACTGCAAGCCTAAACCTTCTGCAATCTCTCTCTGGATTTTCAGCATAACAGGATTCCGAGACACAGTAGCAATAACAACCTCATCAAACATACCCGTGATTTTGGCATACTTTGCTACTTCTTTGATGAATGAGGTCTTCCCCACTCCTCCCATTCCATACACCCCAATAATCTGGTTATCATCATGCTTTAATGCCTCAATGATTTTCCCCATAGCGACTTTAGTAGATTCAAAAGCTTCAAAATCCCCCCTAGGCATCATTTCAATGCTAGGCGGTGGTGCTGGTTGAGAAACTGGAATCTGTTGTAAACTACCTTTCAGCTCATTGACATCTTTGAGCAACTTTGCTGCTCTTTTGCTTGATGAATAATGACTGCTTAAATTTGTACTGCAGAAATTGAACTTTCCCTTATCTTCCTCTCTTAATCCACCTAAAAGTTTATGCACATCATTCATAATCAACTCCGTCTTTCTCAGCCATTGTTCCATATCTTGAGTTGTGGCTTCTCCTCTGCGGCGAGCTGCATCTGTGGTACATCTTGCTGTCTCCCGGGTTATCTCAAGCTCAGTTGTTTTACTTCTAAGATCTTCAATGTTTCTGCGGAATTTCACAAGATAACCAACTTCATTTTTCAGAGGAACAACCAAAAGTTTTGCTAGTTCAGTGATAGGAGTAATTAAGATTTGTAGTATAGTACTAGCCATTTTGCTCGGATTTTTTCTCTAATTATCCAACAAGAATTAGAATTGATACTAATTCGAATAATAGATTAAATATGAACTTGTACTGTAATATTTGTAAAAGATGGAATAGTATGTTTATGTTCTCCTTTCAGGCAGATTCAAAGGATGATTGAGTGGAAAAATCTGAGCATGTAAACAATTATTAATGGAATAAAGAATTTGATTACTAAATGGACGGCAAAGTCTAAGTCTACGTCAACCGTCAACCAACTACAACACCAAGTCTTCCTTTTATTAATAATGCATTAGTGAACCTTCGTTGTTGTATCTTATGCACCTTAGTGTTATATTTATTGTACTGTCAGATCTGCAGTTTGTGATTTGTATTGTGTACATTCTCCGTTTTTTTTAGATAAAACAAACTACTCATATACTCAGTTATCTCTATTTTTGGTAATTTATACTTAAACGAAAACATAGTCCTGACATATTTCATTAGATCCGTCTCAACTTACGTTATTCACAAATTTTTAGTTTTATTTTTACTTATAATATACGGATTTTTCACCAAATACCACTGAGTTTTTGCATAATTCACCATATACCACACGAAACTTTCTAATACATCAAATACCATTGAGTTAATGTATATTAACACGAAATGTCATTTTTGGTAACTGTCGTTAGTCGTCTTCCGTTAACTCCGTTAGTAATTAAGGTTTATAGTGTCACGTGGCTTTCACTTATTGGCTCTTATTTATATTATCTAATTAATTACTTAAATAAAGAATTACCAAAAAAAAAAAAAAAAAAAAAAAAACAGCCACCACCAACGTCCCCCAGCCATCCACCACCCTATCCCGACATCCCCCGCTGGCACGGAATCTGACCAGAACCCCCAACCACCACCCTATCCCTCCACCACCCACGCCGGCGCCCAGCCCTTCTCTCGCCAACGCGTTGGCCTCCCCCTCCCCCGAACCGACAGCACCCAAAATCCGCAACCATACAACAGCATCAATTAGCCAACCACCTTCCCTGCCCTCAATTTCGACCTTCACCTTCGATTATCGGCATCTTTTTTCGAACAAATTCGCTTCTAATTCGACCTTCTCTCTCTTCGTCAAGATCTGATGGGTGGTTAATTTCTTTGTCGTCGGTCTTCCAAATTGGGATTTGCAAGAGGGAAATTGGGGAATTTTGTAGGGTTAGGTTTACAGGTAAGAAATCGGGGATTGGGTTAGAGAGATCGAGAATTGGGGAATTGGGGAAGGGGAGTCCGGCGGGGAAGTCGGGAATTGGGTTAGAGAATCGGGAATTGAGAAATCAAGAATTGGGGAATCGGGGAAGCTTCCGGCAGGGGAGGGGAGGGGTTACAGGTGGGGGATGATTTTCGCGGAAGGGGAGTAGGAGTGGATGGTCGCCGGTGTCGGGGGAAGGGGTCGAGAATGTCGCCGGCGGGGGGGGGGGGGATGGTCGCCGGCCAGCTAGCCTGGGGTGGGGGTTGGGGTGGCTAAGTTGGTGGTGTTTAATTTTATTTTATTTTTTAAAATAATTTTTCTAAAGTTAATTAATTAAATAAATAATATTAATTAGAACCAATTACAAAATGCCACGTGGCACAATTAACGTTAATGACTAACTGAGTTAACGGAAATGGCATGTTGTGACATTTATATTAAACTCAGTGATATTTGGTGTATTAGATTGTTTCGTGTGGTATATGGTGAATTATGCAAAAACTCAGCAGTATTTGGTGAAAAATCCGTATAATATAATTCCTACACATTCTATCTGCCATCGGAGAAATGGACCTGGAAGAGGATATTTGTTCCTGCGCTCTCATCTTTAATGGTCAAGGAAGCCATGCAGGAACAGCTAAGTGTTAGGGCTACCAAAATGCTACTACAGTGAATATCTAAAACCAAATCTAAAGCAAGTAACACAGCATACTCTAACTTAGTAACTTGAAATGGGATCAATATATATACCACTTGATCTATCCAAGACATGGTAACTGGTATAGCTGCCAACGACACCATGTAATTTCCGGCAATACTTTGATATGTTAGTCTGTGACATCTAACATAAAGATAACCTAAATACACAAATCTCATGTCCACCTAGTGATATCTCTCGTTGGCTAACTTGCTGCAGGAATCACACAGAATTTTCTCAAAGAAACTGAACTTAATTAAACTTCGTACAAACAGCTATGAAATATGTCACAAAATTTTAGTTCCTTGATATGACGGACACTGCATATTTTTACTAGTGGAACAACAATATTATATATCATATCGAGCTGGTATAACAGCTGCATATATACAAATAACAGCAATATATAGCACAACATGCTGGAAAACAAAGATATCATGCCTTTACATAGCTGCATATTAATATTTTCTTCAAACTGATTGCTTTACAACAAGAACTGGACACTTTGCGTGGTGAACACAGTAGTCGCTCACACTACCAAGGAAAGTCCTGCAAGAAAGATTTTAATAAGAGAAAGAAAACTGAAAAGAGGGGGAGAATCATGTATGATTTACTATCTGCGAGATGGGAGGACAGTAGCCCAAGATTCAGTTGCAAGTGTCAAATGAATTCAGACATATGTTTCAGGGAATCTTTAGTTAACTATGATTTCGTGATTTACATCCTAGAATTGCATGATTCTTAACCAAGATTTATTTACAAGATGCTGCACAAGGATAATCAATGTCCAAAGATCTGTAGAAAGTTAGGGCATAATAGTATAATATACTATTATTCTGTTAATATATACTTCATCCATTCCAAACTTCCAAAAATATTGCATCATCTGCTTTCGAAGTTTAGCAAAAATTGCAGGAAATCTGTTTTCGGAAACTTTTTGTATGTGGAAAAAATTCAAAGTTACCCCATAATTTCCCACATGGACACACTTTTCTCTAATTCTAATTCCCCTTACCCATTTTACAATAATTTTGTAATGGAGAAATATGAAGTATGTGCAACTCTAAGGCTCTGAGTGAGCCATTTTGCAGTGTTTTTCATGGCATCAGAGATCAATATGTCTGGATTAATCCCTATGAATTTCCCACGATGCTCATGGCAGAAAACTAAACATTCCTCATGGAATAAAATAACCAATATATTGATGTTAAACATTCCTCATGGAATAAAATAACCAATCTATTGGTGTTAAAGCACAAAATATGAGAAATTTTGTTTGGTCTAGCAATAAACTTCTCCAATTTCAATCTGCAATGCATTGGCCAAGGACATAAGAAAGGAAAGGAGAATCACTACAATTCATAATATGAGGTATATAGCTTAGAACAGGCTTTGTATAATTACTCCATTAAAAAATGACTAACAAATGCATATTATAAATGTGGTAAGGTAATCCAACTAATATAGACGACAGCTTTACTTGCATTTTTCTGAAAGCGAACAAGTGGTTCCAGGGAAGGATATAGTAACTTCAGCACTGATTTTCAGCTTAAGCTAAAAATGTCAATGTGACTCATTGGCCAAACAATTGCATGAGACTGAACCAAATTATACTTCATTGGTCTTAGACTTCTTTGCTGTACTAAACTATTTTAGTTCTATTCACTCTATTACAAAATTTTCAATCACTGAGCATAACTAATGCATTTCTCCAATGAAATTCGTCAGTCAGTTCAAAGTATGAACACTATTATACCTTAAAGTTTTAGTAGAGTAGATAATAGAGCTTCAGACTAACCTCCTTATTCGTCCCCGACTACGGCTGCCCATAATCAGTAGTTGACAATTAAATTTCTGTACTGCATCACATATCGCTTCTTTCGGATTGCCCATCAAAGCAACTGTCTCAGCATCAATCTGTATCCAGTAAGATACTAAGTACCGAGTACCAACAAGTGCACATTATGAGATGTATATATATATATTTTAAGACCTAGCAATAAAAATATGGCTTCCAAATTCCAATATCATCCTTTTCGGTGAGTATGTCCATATCTTATTGATGCACAAAAGTAATTGATACTGTAGACAGAATCAGAAGCTCAAATAATATAAGTAGACCATCAGATTAGTAGGAAGACTCTTTTCTTCATCTAATCGGACAAAATAACTTAAAATAAAATGTCATTTCTCAATTGTTAAGAAAAAGCATCACATTATGAAAAAAATCCCAAATTATTCAAAATGTAACTTGCTAGAATTGAAATATGGCCTATTATATAAGGACACCCTTAATTAGATGTGTAGTCTATAAAAGTAGAACAGAGGTAATACTGAATTTTTGAAGTAATCAACAATAACAAATGTCCGTAAAAATGTATTTAAATTGAACAAGGTTGCCTCCAAACACTTTAAATCTGCCGTGATCAATGTTACTTAATAGTAATGTTTTTTCTTTTTGAGAAGTTGCAAAATAATTGCAACATTATGTCATTTGGACAATGATTTTCTCTATCACTCTCTTCATCACATTGTACACTTTTTATCTCTCTTCTTTAAAATGTGCATCAGTCTAGTGATTATTTTTCCGAAAAGATAATGAAATGCCTGCAGTATACTATGAGAGAAATAGTGAGGATTTTAAAGTTCTTACCCCATGCTTTTCACATAGTTCCTTTGCTTTTGTTAGGAGAGATACAGTAAAGTCCTTCTGATCGCCTTGGAGTGATGTTACCAGGTCAAGAGCTGCATGAATGTTGTATATATAAGTAACTTTTTTTTTTAGTATTATACTGCAGCCATGTAAGTAAACTACCTAGGTCTTAAGTCTCTCTGCTTTGACTTGGAGAATGAACATTGTTCATGAAATTTTACGAAACAAGTTCTGCACTTAAGCTAATAATATGTGTAATACATGATTTTCTATGTAGTATGAAAATTTCAGTCTTAAGATTAGAAGCAAGACTTACACCATTGCCTGATTCTGGATCCACTAAAAGGAAGAACAGAAGAAAAAAAAAAATGCAACTTCCCACATTTTTTTAATTTCCTTTTCACGTTTTCCTTGAAACTGAATCAATTTTCTTTCCATGCGAAAGAGGACAAGACTGTCACAAGCAAAGCGACAACTTTGTTTCAAAAAAAAAAAAAGCAAAGCGACAACTTTCTGAATTTAAGCACTAAATAGCATGAACGCAATTTTAGATATATCTTTTCAGTTGTTAATTTGCATCAGCAAAGACTCTCCTTATAAATCCCATACATGTTTTAAGATGAACATACACAATATTGTTGTCTCAAGTACTCAACTCAATAAAAGTAAGAGATGTCTCAACAAGAAATTTAATCTATCAAAAATTTGTTTCAGCACCGATGATTTGCCAATCACAAATAGATAGTTAGAAATCAAGAGTTTTCTAATACAATACGGAAGCAACCAGAGATCACCTAGGAAGATATCCAGCGTATCAAGTTGAATAAATGCAGCAACATTCATAGCATGTTCACAGTTTGGAAAGGGTTCTACTAGAACCGTTCTAGTAAGTTTCTTTTACTCTATTTAACCATGAAAGGAAGACAGGTACGCACTAGATCAGAAAAGTCATCTGAATTTTGTTTTATTAGTCCCATATGAATAGATTTTGTTTACATCGTATACCAAATTAGAAATTGGTACTTGCTAGTTGCAAATTACTAAATACTGATAGAGTATATTTGAATATTTTAGAATATACTTCCTCTGTTCCACAAATATTGCAACAATGATGAAATTACACATTCCAAAGCACATTTTATATGTTAAATAACTATGATTATATAAGAGTAAAATTTATAAAAAGTTGATATTGTAAAAGTATATTTTACTTTACGTATAAATCATAATTTGTGGTCAAACAAGCATGGTGAATAGTGTAAAAGTCCAGTTGGTGTAATATTACTAGAACGGAGGAAGTATATTTTACATCTCTCATCATAGGTGGATTATATTGGCTGTGTGCAAGATTTGCCTTGTATTGAGCATGTAAAAGGGATATACACACAAGTAAAGTCAGTAACTCACTCAATGGTCACACAATCTCACAGTACGTAACAACTTCGAGTAAAAGAAAGGCATAAGTTAAACCCCATAAGATTGATCCCAATTGCATGATTCATTCTAGTGTCTTATATACATATTTAGTTGGCTGATAGTTTGCACTTTGCAGAGAAAAGTTGTTGGTAAGTTGTATTGGTTGAGTTAGCTTCATCAAATAAAACAAGTAATGTCTTTAGCGTGCGACTGAAATTGTAGCAGTTGATTATTCACCCTAATTATTGGCACCTATACAATTTTAATAGTTAAACAAATTAGGATTACAAACTAAGACAATCATTCACACAATTTTATTTAATATTTTTTTTTTTTTTTTTTTTGAAGCAGCAGAACACAACTACACCAGCAACAATCAGCAGGACAGAATCAGAAGACCAGGACCAAAAGTAACTTTAAAAGCCAGCAGGCCCGCTCATACGACATCCTAGACCAGAAAGTACAAGCAGCACAGCATCAGCAGACAAGGCTACATTTGTTATCTGATTTAAAACACTTGCAGGCCTCTCTGAACAGAATATTCTATATATACAGCTTCAGGATGCTTAATATTCTAATCAATCACCATCTAGTTCCTTAGCAGCAAATCACAATCAACATCTTGCACAAAATGCATAGCATAGGATTGACTCTTATCACCAAATTTTGTTGTTAGCTTTAATAACCAGCTCAACTTTAGCCTAGAAACTTCAATAACACCTTGAGAAGTGGAACATATTTTAAACTCGACTTCTCATACTCCCGTTGTCCTATTAAGATTACCATGTTCGACCATTTTTTTGTGAGAGCATTTTGAATCAAATGGAGCAATTTTAATGGGATAGAAAATACCAAAATGACAATAATTGACTCAAAATAGCCACTTAACCCTCCTATCCAAGGGCAACCAATACTTTCTCCATTCTTTTTACAAAATCGCAACACTTTCCTTTGCACGGGTTTTAATAAAAGATTAGCGAAGACATTTAAATTAACATCAATAACCCAACCCTTCCCTCTTACCGATCTGCGGGTCTGATCGGGCTAACTTGGTCGACTAGGCCGCAATCAAAACCCGGATGAAAAACAAGAATTCCAACACTCTTCACAACTAATAAATTGAGAAATTTTTATAAAAAAAGGGCCAAGAACAGTAAGTGGGGGAGAAAGAACTTACGAACAGAGCCATAACTGCCAGAGAAAACACCAGTATAATCAGCAGAAGTAGCAGTAAAAATAATGACACCCGATTTCAGTTTATGATCAAGGTGTTCCACTGCCCATTTAAGCGCATAACTGCTACTCTCACTCCCATCAATTGCTATCATAACCTTCCCATTTTGCTTCGAAGCTCCTGCTATTTCCTCCTCCATCCCACTATTTTTTTTTTCTCTCTCTAAATTTGGATGTTATTGTCAGAATTTTAGTTGTGAGAGGAAGATGATGATGAAATTGGTAATCTATTTGTTGATATTTATAATTGCTTGTAATTGATTTGTGTGATGTTATAAATGAGTAAGATGTTTACACCTGGTTTGTTTTCCCGCCTATAAATATTACTATTTCCCACTTACCTTAAATCCTACGTTGCCACGACCTCCTTACCCTACCCACTCTTAAATCATGAAATGACCCAATCAATGGATTAATAATGTTCATTACACCTTCTTTTTCGGATGTCCATATCATTAATTTGACATATTTTTTGGAATGTTTTTTCAAAGAATGAAAGAATAGAGAAATTAATTCATTTTTTATGAAGAAATTAAGTATGAATTATGATTGATTATCAAAGTAATTCTGAGAGCGTATCATTTGTTGATTAAATTGGTACTTATTTTCTCTATTTTGTAATAATCGTAACAGATGGACTTTTGCATTATTCATACACATATTTTGGCTATACTTTTTTTACTAATACTTCCTCAGTTTTTTTTTTAGTGCCCCACTTCTCAAAAATAGTTGTTTTTTTTTTTAAAGTGTCCCACTTTCCAAAAACTTTTTTTTTTTAAGTGTCCCATTTGTAAAAGTGGAAACTCCACTCACATTATATATTATTTCTCTCTATTCCTTTTAACCCCACTATCATTTTATAATATTTTCTCTCTCACATTATTTCTAGTGGTCCTCATTCATATTTTTCTCTCTTACTTCTCCAAATTTTTTAATCCTAACCATACCCACACATACAATATTTTATTCTTTTGCCTAAAACTATGTGCCCAATGAATGAGACACTTAAAAAAAACAAAGGGAGTATATATACTCCCTCTATTACACATTAGGTCTTAGGAATAGGAATTCCCCTCATAAAGAGGGTTTCCTAATGTTTAATTTTTCTTACCTTTTTAAAATATAATAATAAAAATTACTCCCTCTATTTTCGTATATAGAAACTGAAGAAGTATTGCGCAATTACGTATCTAAAGAATGAAATTGGTGGTTTCCCATACCATTTTATTATCTACTCCCTCTATTCCTATTATTTATTTATTTTTATTTTTTTTTTCTCTCGATAGCCAATGTTTGGGTGAACTTTTAATAACTTTAACCTTAAACTCCCATTAATATGTAAGAGATAATATACTTAATTATATAGGATCTTGTTAAATTTTATTTTTTTTAGTAATATCAAATTTTTATACTTCGTAATTTTAACGCTTATAGAAATGAAGATATATATATTTTACTACACGTTTCAAAGACCATGTAAAGTCAAATGGGGCAAAAATATAGGGATAAGAGGGAGTACACCCTTAAGCAATAGACAAACACATGGTTATATTTTAAACCAACCAACCCTGAATAGCTCAAAGAAATTAGATTCTACATTGATTTTCTAATAGGTATTGGAGATTCAAAAATTAAGAGTAATATTAGACTGTATATCAAAACTAAGGTAGTCCCTATTGTAGACATGAAAACAATCACATGTGGCTAATTATTTTAGAACGATGAAAGTATTTTATTTTATTGAGAGTGAGAGATAGCTCAAGTGGTTAGAGCTTTCTCTTCAATTCCAAGAAATCCTGGGATTGATTCTCACCCCACCCTTGTGGCTCTCTAAACACCAAAAAAAAATATTTTATTTTATTTGTCGACACTAGTGTAGTAGCATGCTATTACAACATAGTTACTTATTTACAATAATAGCAAATTGTAGATTTCCTTCAGACACGTTGCCTTACTACAAGAACAGGACACTTTGCATGATGAATGCAGTAGTTGCTAACACTTCCAAGAAATGCCCTGCATGAAAGATGTATATTAGAGGGGAAAAAGAGATGCAGGTACTTTGTATGAATTAGTACTGCAGATAGCAGATAATCTGCTCAAGCTTCAGTAGCAAAAATTGACAATCATATTCAGATTAGAGTATGCTTGAAGGAACTCTGAAATTATATGATGTTGTAACTTGAGCTCTATATTAACTCTGAAGCTATGTAACTATGACTTAAAGAGTTAAATCAGTTAATGCTGTTACATGATGCTTAATCTGTAACAATATGAATAAGTTAACATGTAAAATTTCAGGTTAATCTTTAGATAAACTTATCCCATCTTAACAAACCTTTGTAGAGCTCCTCGACTATGAGTTCCCATGACAAGTAAATTACAATGAAACTTCTCCACTGCATCACATATCGCATCTTTCGGATTGCCCATCACACACAGTGTCTCCGCATCAACCTGTATCAAGTAAGATAATGAGTACCAAGTTTCCAACAGGGGCACAAAATATATATATTTAACAAAATTGTCTAATAAAGGCCATATGATTGGTGCTTGCCATCGTAAATTGATAAACATTCATTAAGGTAGACTCAATTCATTTTGAAGAGAGTTAACCACATATATACTAGCTTGGCCGGGTTCCAAACTTAAAGCAATTAGTAATAGTTGGAGTAGATGAAATCATATTCCTATTCATTCTTCAATGTGGAACAATAGTCTCAACTCACAATCAATTGGGGTCAAGCTAAACATAAACAGATATATGACTCTAGGAATATAAAACTAAACTTGATCATTATGTAGACAACTAAGAAGGGAAATATCAATTGAATGCAAAAGGTGGAAGCCAGTCCAACGAAAAATAAACAAAGGAAAACCATGGACCATAAAAGGTTGCCTATGATCACTAGGAGTTTACAAACATATCATGATGTTCGCTATATTGATGTTTGGCAATCAGCATCTGTCTGAATAAAAAGATGAAATGAACTTTACAATTCAATGGGAGAACACCAAAGAGGATTTATTGGTTCATACCCCATATTGTGCACATATTTCCTTAGCTTTCGCTAGGAGAGAAGTTGCAAACTTTTTCTGATTCTCTTGGATTGATGTTACCAGGTCAAGAGCTGCAAAGACAGAACACAAGAAATACCAACATAAGTGTTGTAATGATACATCTCAAAAGTTTTGTGTTGTCAAACGTGTTAAGTCATAGGGTACCTATACATAATGCACCTAACCAATACATCAACCTAATGTATATCTTTTCGGTTTAACTGTGGAGAATGCACCAGATTTTTATCGAAATATTAAAAATGAAATTAATGGTATTCACAAAACCATGATCTCTCAATTCAATTCATTGAATTCATTTCCAATTGCCCCAAAGCCCATGTAAGGCCATATTCACCTTTTTCACTTATGATCTCATAAAGTCCGGATAAGATAAGTTAGGGATAATAAGTTCTCATAAGGGTTACTCAAGCTCGTCAAATTACAACTTAAAAAAGTTCTAATAAAGTCAAATAAGTTCAGATAAGTAAAAATCAGATAAATAGAACATATCCTTAATGGCTTTCCCCCATTTCAAGACTAGGGATATTGTGCAAATCTGTTTATATGTTATTTCATACCAATGGCCGAGCCAAAATTTTGAAGGTGGGATCTAAAGGGTTTATAAGTAATTCCATACAAGTATTTTTATAAGAGAGTGTAATACATGGAAAATTTATATTCAATGGTATTATAGTCCTTTACACCGTATTTGGATAACAATAACAATAACGACGGGAAAAGGGAGAGGAAGGAAAAAGAGAGAAAAATAAGGAGGTGAGTGGAGGGAGAGAGTGACATTTCATTTTCGCTCCAAATATCTCCAACAATTGGAGGGATTTTTTTTTATTTGAAAATGTATTCCCTTACCCTATGTCTTATCCAAATTAGGGAAATTATATCACTCACTTACCCTTCCCTCCCTTTCCCTCCAAATATTACTATTCAAACATAGTGTTAACATAGAATCATTTTAGAAATTATAAGAATTAAATCAACAACTCAAATGTATTATAATCAATTAACTAAATCAAGCGAAGGGTTGGCGGGAACTGCCAAACAATACAATAAGTTATCTTCACGTAAGGTGCTCCAGTCTAAATCTTTCTAGCTTACTCTGAATTTGATGTTCATGTCTAACTAAACTTTGGCCATATTTCTACACTAACAAATGTGAAATAAAAAAATAAAAAATTAAAAAAAAAGGCCGTCAAATGATTTTGTGAGATTCGTTGTGCATTCACCAAATTAAGAATTTCAATTTTAATTTTTAGCGAGGTTCAATCTAGTCTGATTCCAAGTTTCCAACAAGAATAAAATAATTAAATTTTGTATTAGGGTACTAAGAACATATTCTTAATTTGCATATTCAACATTAAATAAGGTACACCTTGCAAAAATTGTACTACGTAAAATAAAAGGTGGCAGTTCAGCAGTCGGGTCAGTTAGATCGGGTCAATTGGATTCGGGTGACATGCTAAGTCAAACGTGTTCATGTCGTGTCATTTTTTGGTTTTATTGCCAATATACTTATTTTGATAATAACATAATCAGAAATTCAGAATTAGACAATAGACACATTGATTGCCATTTTGGCTCGGGTCGGTTTGGTGGATCAAGATCAAACGAAGTGATTTCAATTAGACTTATGGGCCGTTTGGTTCGCAGGGATAATCGAAATGGAATGAACAAAGGGAATGATAGAGAAAGGAATAAAAATCCCTCAAATTTAGTGTGTTTGTAATTAGATACAGGTCAATTTTGCCAAGTCTACTCGACTACTCGTAATCAATCAATTAGCGTCAACAAAAATGTGTACAATAAGTTAAATAAATAGAGAGAAAGAAAACATACGAACAGTGCCGTAACCACCAGCAAAAACACCACTCTGTGTAACAGAAACAGCCGTCAAAAGAATAACACCAGATTTGAGTTTATCACCCAGATTTTGTAACGCCCATTTCAGAGCATAGCTACTACACTCACTCTCATCAACTGCTACGATCATCATCCCATTTTGCTTCATCTCTGCTGATGCTGCTTCCTCTGCCATTTTCAATTTTGATTCAAATTTTTGTTTTTAGATAAGATAAGACCAAATATTTGGAACTTGTATAATTAGTCAAAGGAAAACAAAATTTGGTACTATTTTGAATTGGTAGTTTGGACTTTGGACTGCGGCTTGCTATGATATTTAAATGCTTCACGTCACTGCCTTAGCCATTTAAAATTCTGTGTGCGGTTTACATCTGGTTTTGTTTATCAGCCAAATCACACATACCGTTACACGTCGCCACGAGGCAACCGTTATACGTAGCCACGTGGCATTTCCACATGTTATAAGTTTACATTGTTTCTTCCTTGTACGTTTGAAGCCGTTTAAGTGAGTTGTCAAAACCCTGACCATCTTGATCTGAAATTGACCTAAAAATATCTGATTTAGATTTCGACTCACATGAATATATAAATTAGCATGACTCAAATTGAAATTAGACTAACCTGACCCGACTTTATTGAACCTAATTTAAACATTTGAATTGACACCTCTGGCAGTAGTGGATTAGGTTATGGTTAAGGTTTAAGTTAGGTTAAAATGTTAGTTGGAATAAATAAGAATGTTTGGTAAAGAGGTGATGTGAAATAGGGGAGAGCATTAACCAATTGATTCGTCTGTATGATGAGAGGAAATAAGAAAGTAGAGTTAAAATAGCGGAATTAATCTTGTAATTATCTATTATTTTAATTTAGTAACACGAACTAATGTTGCAAGGCTATCTCAAGGCTTATGTATATTGACATTAAGGACCTTCCTATACTCCAATGAGTCTTATATAGGGGTGTCAATTCGGGTAAACAGTTCGGGTTTGAGTTGGGTTTATCAGTTTTGGGTTATAACGGGTCGGTTTATAACGAGTTAAAATGATTAGCGGATCGGTTTGGGTCGGTTTTGAAAATCTCGGGTCCGTTCGGTTTGGTTTTTTTATTGCGGTTTCTATTCGGGTCGGGTCCTAATCAGGTTGGGTTGTAGTTGGTTCGGGTCATAATCAGTTTGGGTTGAACCAAGTCGGTTTGAAAACGGGCTTAGCCAATTTAAAGTGGGTTTCGGTTCAAAATAATTCGGGTTCTAATCGGGTCGGGTTGTAATCAGTTCGGGTGATAATCAGTTTGGGTTAAACCTGGTCAGTTTGAAAATGGGTTTCGGTTTAAAACAGATCAGGTGAAATCGAGGTTTCGATGATTATCGGTTCAGGTCATAATCGGTTTGGATTGAATTTGGTCGGTTTGAAAACAGGTTTACCCAATTTGAAACGGGTTTCTGTCCAAATCATATTGGGTTAAAATCGAGTCGAGTTAGTCAGATAATGGGTAGGAACAAGTCATGTTATAATCAAGTTAAGTCATAAATAAGTTGGGTTTATCGAGTAGTGGGTTGAAACGGATGAGATCATAAACATATTGGTTTACCGGTTGTAAATGACTCATTCATAACAGGTTACCGGTCGTAAACGATTCATCTCAACGGGTTACGGGTCGTAAACAGTTCGGTCTCAACGGTTTTCGTGTTGGAAACGGTTCGATCATAAGGGGTTACGGGTTATAAATGGTTCGGTAACAACGGATTACGGGTTGGACCGGTTCAGGTTTATCGGATTTTTGTCGGATTTAAACGGTTATCGGTTTGAAATGGGTCGGGTTACTATCGGGTTTAGACGTAATCGGTTCGGGTTGTTTTCAGTTTCGAGTTGAAACGATATGGCTTGATAACGGCTTGGGTTAGTAACGGTTCACACAAATTCGGTTCAGTTCAGTTTCGGTTTAGGAAAAATTGGGTCGGGTCGGTTTTCGGTTTCCAAAAAACGGGTTTTTAACGGCTCATTTCTTTTTTGGATCGGTTTGAAATAGTCGGATTTAACAGTTCGGGTCAGAAACTGAGAGCTCTAGTCCTATATGATTCTCTAGACAGACTTCATCGTTCATGATAAATATAAACGATGTTTACTGTTGTATATATATACACATACATATACATATGTATATATATATATATATACGGGGTGGTTTCACTGAAAATAAGGCTTATGCTGAAAACAACAAATCTCAAATATTCATTATTAGCACAAAAGATCAGACGGTTTAAAAGCCCTAAATCTTTCCAACCTTACATATAATCAATTCAACTGTTTTAAAGGTCACTACATACTAAAATAAGGTAACTTTATCTAAATTGACGACATTTACATAGAGTCACTATATATAAAACTAACGTAACTATATCAATTTTGACGATATTTACACATAGGTCATTATATACAAAAATAAGGTAATTATATCAATTTTGACAACATTTACATAAAGGTCCTTATGTACAGAAATAAGGTAACTATATCGACTTTGAGTTTTTGACACCATTTACATAAAGGTCACTATATACAAAAGTAAAGGTCACTGTATATAAAAATAAGGTAACTACATCAATTTTGACAAAATTTAAATAAAGATTGCTATATACAAAAATAAGGTGACTGAAACAAATTTTACAACATTTCCATGATGCTAAGGTCATTATATACAAAAATAAGGTAACTATATATAAACTTCGAGTAATTATATCAATTTGACATCATTTATCCAGAGGTCATTATATACAAAAATAAGGAACTATATCATTTTTTTACCACATATACATACAGGTCACTATATACAAAAATCGGTGCACGTGAGCTTTGAAGACCTCACTCTCCTCCTTTTAAATGTTGGACCACCTGTAGTTCATGCCATATCCAAGTAAATCTACTAAATAAATCAAAAGAAAATAAACAAAAGTCTATGTAGGATTCGAACCTACATCCCGTGATTACACGGTACTCGACCAATTAAGCTAATAGGCTTTCAACGTGCAAAAAACGTTGAGGCTTAAAACCAAAACATTTGCCTTATCAGATAGGGCATGCTGGCATAATACTATATAGATGCAACCACATAGACAAATACATTGTCCTGCAAAGATGGACCACATTTATATATCTTCTTAGCAGTCAATGCTACCGCCAAGTATTGACCATCAATATGAAAGATAGAATAGATAAAAGTCATACAAAATTGTTCTGAAATTGTTAGATGCAGTGTATATTTAACACGAATCAACTCTTCCCATCAAATTTTATTCAACTATGAGCTTTCTTATACAAGGCTACTGTCTTTGTAATGGCCACAGGGAACAAGTAACTCAACTTAGATCATAAGGCGTCAACCATATGCTCACTTAGACAATACATTAGAGAAGGCCCTACTAAAATATCTAGGGATTGATATAAGCATTTTACATAAATTGTGATTGCTACAACAATCAATAAGGCAAATGAAACTAAAGTAAGAGCAGAACAATTACACATAAAAACCTAATTAACTAAAATTAAGCAGAATTAAACAAAATATGGTTCAAATCTACTCCTATGAAAATGTACTGAAGTCGAAACTCAAAAATACAAATCAAATCGATAATTTCCACCAAAAAAAAACCGGGCAAATTTACAAAAATATAATAAAATAAAATAAAATAAAATAAATATAAAAAAAATCAGAAACGAAGAACCCAGAAAAATACACAAATCAGAAACAAAACACCCAGCAACTATCCGGGTTCTAGAATCAAAGATGCAAAATCGAGCTAAAATCACACATCAAACCTAATTTACTTAAATCAAGAAATTAATGTAGATCAAAGAATTTCTTACCATGAAATTAAGTCGAATTTTAACGTAATCACACTCATATGAAACGCAAATAAGCAAGGAAAAGCTCAAATAAAGTGTACTACTACATTATTACATATAACTCATAATTGAATTCGTAACAAAAAAAATCAAGCAAAAATTACACAAAATACCTAATCTACTAAAATCAAGTAAAATCACACAAATGTAGCTCAGAAATACTCCTATGAAACTAAAATTCAAAAAAAAAAAAAAAAAAGCCCCAAAAAAATCAAATCGAAAAATCAATTTTAGTATTTCCAAAAACACGTATAATATACCAAATTAAACAAAAAATCATAAACGAAAAGTCACTTTTTGAAGCTAATGACGAAATTGATGAAGATATTTGATGATGTTCAGCGTTGATATTGAATTGGGAAGGAGAGATAATAAAGAAGATGGAGAACATGAGATGGAGGAGAGAGATAATAGATTGACATAAATTAGAAAACAAAACCCACGTCAATATTAAATACACGCCGATCTAATTTAATCCGTTAGATGAAATCCAATAGTCTAAATTACCTGTTTTCAGTTTTTAAGGCTTGTTTTCACAAGATCATATATATATATAAATAAAGATCAAAATTTTATTTTCGCTAATAGCGTTCATGAGTCCTAACTCCAATGTTGTAAGGGCATGGTTTTGGCCTCTCGGGGAGCAACTACAAAAAAGTATAAACAAAGATCAAAATTTTATTTTCCTTATTTTCTCAAAAAAAAAAAAATTATTTTCCTTAATAGCGTTCATGATAAATATTTCTTAAATTTTAGGCGCCAAATTGTTGACATGAGTCGATATCATCTTATTCATCTACTACACTGTAGTAGAAGTAGTATTCAACTATTTCTGTATTGTCATGGGAGGCTCCATCTTTTGAGGATGGAATTGATTATTGAGAGGCTGTCACTTTCCATTGATGTTTATATATAATGATAAAAACACAACACCAAACTATTGATTTATTGAAGAAGTATACATATTACACTGAGTCAATTAACTCAACTTTAGCAACTTTCTTATAATCACCAAGTCACCCACAATTTGCAAAGTAACATTGTCTTTATCTTGAGTCTTTAACCTAAAATACTCTTCCCCCCCCCCCCCCAAAAAAAAAAAAAAAAAAAAAAAAAAAAAAAACATGTGCACATCCTTATTATTACAACAACATTTTATTCATCATGTCATAACTATGTCTCGATTTAAACCAAAAGGCGAACTTTACCTTCAAGGTTAAAACTTAAGAGTTTATCCATCGATATCTAATGCAGACATATACTGAATTGAAATAAAAATCAAGAGACATTTTCATTGTAAAATAAAAATGTAGATTATTATCTTGTAACAGAGAAATAATTGTAATTTTATGTGCAGCTTTAGCCTAGGGTATCCATGGAGCGGTGGAGATATGGAATCAATGGCCACCTCCGCCACCACTAGGTGCAGATGATAACCGTTCGAGCAAATAAGCCATTTGGTACTTCACCCTTTCATGTAAAGGGTACATAGAAAGATGATAATTTCTACTGCTTGTAACATCTTGCAACACTCTTGTTGCCGCAACATGAAACTTGCATGAAGCCGAGAACATTAACACAAGCAATAAGATCTGAAGACTAATCAGCCAAGAAATTTTCATATTTGTATTCAGAAAACTTTGTAATATACTTTGTAGATAATAAGATTTTTACATGGAATTATAGTGTATAAGCTATAGTTTTATTACCTTATTATACAAATGCTGAAGGATTCAACTATATATATACACATAGTCACATATGGTAACAAAATGACCTCATTCTTTGACTGATGGTAAACTCTGGAATGTGGAACTTCCACAAAAGAAGCAAAATTTGGCTTAGCCGCTTAGACACATACATACTAATAAAGGCTGCTTTTTTTGGTTCAAAACTTTGAAAGTTTTGTGAAGCAAGGCATTAAAATCACGTAGAGTTGGAAGATAACAGTTTTATGAGTCATACTTGATGACTCCAAGACTGAGGGAATTTCTAAAATAGACAGTTCTTGAGTAACTTTGTTTGAAATTTGACTGCCCTGTTAACATCACCAGCCATCAGCAAGGGAAAATTCTACAGCAGAAAACCAATCCACAAAATATATCAGTCAGAAACAACAAGAAACCCGCCATTTGAGGGAAGACGAGATACTCGGAGGCGGGAGGTGGGTAGTTTATCTGGGGTGGATGCCTTCTAAAGAGTAATGCACATGGTGGTGCACATGCAAAGGAATTGATAGACAAAGTTTAACTGCTCAGAATTTTTTACTTTATAAATATGTAATTAGGATACAGGAGAACTATTCTAGAATACAAATAATTGACATTATACCAACACTTAACTGAACAAAGGGTCATTTTAATGTACTCAATGGAAACAGTAAATCAACCCCCCCCCCTCGTAATTGTATTGCTCTTGAGGCTCATCCGACCCAAAAACTAAAAATAAGAAAAAGCTAATAAATAAAAAGGAAACAGGAGGGTTTGTACAGTCAAGCTGAGACCCCATTCCTCATATAATTAAGGAACTTGACTTTTGATTCAGGAGGAATACGGATTGGGCGAAAATATTTGTTAAGCCAAACTGCAGTTCCCTTAGCTTCAAGGATAGGCTGTCAAACAAAACATGTGGCCTTTCAGTATAGAGAAAAACAAGGGAAACGTTAACAACACTATGCAATTATAAAGCAGGGGCAGGATAAGAAACAAACCTCTTGATTTGGTAACTTATAAATGTAATGCTCAAAGAAGAAGCGAACAGCAGAGTAGTCTGAGACCCTCACTTTCACAACAAACTTGTCTCCACTCTGCTTGACATGGAATGAGCACAGATGCATTACAAACCAACCAGATTTTAAAGATATTGGCACTCAAAGTCCTAAGCACTCTAGGTATAAATTTAAGGGAACACGGAAAATAAAAGTAATTTTGGCATAAGTAGCCCATATCCTTAAGCAGATGCACACACCATAAGCAATGTTTTGAAATAACAAATTCAGGAAAGAATAAAACCCATCAAGATTATTACTTATTAGTCTAATTTTCAAACACATCGTCAAAAGCTCCAAACCGTATTGCCAATTAGCTGGGCTAAACAGCATTAAAATGTTTCTTCTGCTAACCAAAATGTTATTTACCATTCAAGACCCTGGGCAATCACCTTCTGCCATTGTGTATCCTAAAAATACTTGCATGCAGTTTTTCCATGGCAGTGTATCACCACCAAGATTCATGAAAAAAAATATATAAATAAGAATAATTCATGAAGACAACAGACAATTGCACTATTTCAGCAATTGTACAAAACATGTGGAAATCATACCCTAAGAGGCGCGAGAAATTTGAGAGTCAATTCTGACAATGCAAGTGAATCACCACTGTGAGCAACAGAACTAGCACTTAGACCAATACTTTCCAAAAGCTCGTGACGTGCTGCATAAAAGTTCAAGAGCTTGGTCAATAGACTGCTTGCAGAAAACAAATACTTGTATAACATTAATGCATTCAATAAGTAATAATAAGAAAAAAATTCAGAAGCAAGCAACATAGAGCAAAAATACAAAGCCAATAGCATCCACAAACTTTCCCATGAGTTTGGTTAATTGATATTTTGCTAATTGATCACAAAACCTATAAAGCACTCCAGTAAACAGAAAAGCAAGGTCCTTGTCAAAAGTACTAAAAAGGAAACCTAAAATTGTTAAAATTATTTCAGTATACAGAACAGACCAAAATTTCATATGCATGGTTACTAGCTACTATGAAGAAGATATTTCGAAAAAATAATAATAACAATTAGGGTACTTTTGCATGGTAATGCAACTTTATATTCTAGAAGTTGGAGATCACTGAATGATATTGACGAGGAAGATGATACCCAAATATATACACTGCTTTAGAGATGTCTTATATATCAATAGCTAAAAAAGAAGTCTCTCACATAGGTTTTAGAAATTGAATTGTTCGTCTTTGTCTGTTACTCTATACATCTCTAAAGCAGTGTATATAGGGCTTGAGATTCTAGATGCTGGCCTGGAATAAGGTTAGCGAGAGCTTAGTGCAAGTTTTTGCTGGTTGTGCAGCAAACTATGAAGCATTTGAGAAAGGCAAATATTTAAGTTGGATGCCAGCTTTTCACTGCATAGACCAAATGCTAGAATTTTATTTTTTATAATTACTTTTGGAAAGCAACAGTACTGCAGGAGGACAAAGTATCAAAGTAGAAGACATAAAGATTAAAAATGAGCTACAGTTGCAAGGCTAGGAAGACCACAACCTATACAAACTCTGAAATACATCCCTATGCTTGGAAGAAAGAACTGAAAATCGGAAGGGCACTTGTTAGACCTGGAGTCACACAATTTCCAACTTACATAACATTGAAGTGCATTAAAAAGCAGACCTGCAGCTTGCCATGTTTAGATCTATAAATAGACATTCAGCGAATTTACTTAACCAGTTTAGAGAGATGTGAAGATGATTTTCTAGGATATTTAGGGTTTTGGATAAGGCACAGGGTAACACAATTCTAAAAATAAGCTGCAACTAGTGAAAGCCTGTCAATGGTGGTTAAATGGCAAGCTTGGCAACTGCCACAAAAAAGATTAAGGATATGAAATGGTTTAGTAGAACCTGTTTGCTTTATACTTTATGGGACCTGGTTATTCAGAGCAAAAAGGTCTTACGCTAGAGGCATACAAAAAATAAAAAACGATGAAGCACCTATGGACATTGTTGGTATATTAGAATATATGCTCTTTTCTAATGATCATTTCCTACTCTTTATGATTCTAGAGTTTTAATGATACTTTTTCCATCCTGATTTCTTTTTGCTTCACATGAAAGAGAACTTTGAACTGTGTGACGACCAAACAAGGATCTAAACCTATAATGAAGATATAGGAAATGACAATGAAGATGATGGGTGCCTTGGTAATGATAATTGGTAATTTAACATTGGTTGTAAATTGTATGGACATAGTTAGAAGCTTAGAACCTTGTACCTTTTATGTTGTTCACTCTAGATTCTTGGTGGTCTTTTGTGTTGTAATTTAGCCCATCACTAATGATGGCTTAATGGTTAAAAGTTTCCCTTTTCTCCAAAATAGAGAAGTTTAAGACTAGTATCTTTAAGTAGCATACTATCAATGATACACTTTTATGATTTCAAACTTGTGTTACTTCATATATGAGTAATCTTGTAATATACCCAGTTATAAATTGCTATTTGTGCAAATTTAGCAAGATTTTACGATTTGATTTAGAGGGCCTCTTCTGCAAATTGAATTTACCTTGGGAAGCAACAGAATTTAAGTGTGGCATTACTCTGTCTTTCTGTGGACCAGGGATGGTTTCTATCAGATATTTCATTTTGATAAGTGACATTGTGATAAAAAGACCGCTAGGTCTTTCCATTTCACATTCAGTTCAACGAGCAGTTTTTTCACTGAGATTCTTTGTTTCCTCTAGTGTAAATTAATTAAAAATAGATGTTGATCCTGATAAAATTGGCTAAAAAAAGATAAATATTTGGAAAGGGCAGAGTGGCATTTGGACATACTCATATTGTACAGTCCAAGTTACTCATAAATTGCAAGAACCACAAAATTTCAGGGGTCCAATGCAAGATCTCTAGCATCATGAACAACTACCAACATAAGGCTTGATTTGCTGTATTTAATTTTGTCTAATATATATATTATACAAAGTATGAACTTATTAGAACTCACTTAATTTTTTCTGAACTTATTTTATCAAAAAAAATTATTTTGTCTGAATTGCCTAATCTGTGAGCAATTTTTTGAATTGTCTAGAAAAGTTAGTGGGCCATGGTGAGTATGGAAAATAAAATTTAACAATGGTGGTCCTTTACCATTTATGCTACTGCGTCAATTATTCTAAAACGGCCAAAAGAAAGAACTGTGTCAATTATTTTGAAACAAAGGGGAAGATATGAACTTTTTTTAAACTATCTAAACTAGATCGAACTTACTTTATCTGAAGTAGTCAAAATAAGATATACCAAATAGACCCTAAAAAGGATAAATCTAGAACAAAGGTATATTGGCATGTCTATAGTGAATAAAATAATCTTCTTTACCTAAGCATTGAATCCATAATAGGGTATAAAGTATCTAGAACTTGCTAAAAAAATTTGTTCACATTCATAAATAGCATCCAATGGTCAGCAAAGCAGGAGGCAATAGCACCAAAGAGACTTCAGAACACCCATTAAGAAGCATCAACAACAAAGAAAAGGCAATAATGTTAAAAAGAAATGCTTAATTAGTCCAGCGAAAAAAAGATTTAAAGCAAAGCATATGGTCTACCTACCATGTTCGATATAATTCGCATACCTAGCATTGTTAACAACACCAAATTGATCCAACTCATAGTCACGTACTTTCATCTCAATCTCAAAAAACTCAATCGCTCTGTAAATAAGACAAGATAATCATCATGGCATTAAAATTTATGGAATGTGTAAGAAAGCAAGTCATTCATCCATATCAACTACATTGTCTCTATTACATTTTCATGGTGTTTCTAATTGAATCTCACATAATCATACCACATCACACCAGACTAAACCACAAAATCTTATTTCAGTTGTATAGCGAAAAATCATTATCCTTGAATTTGTATAATAAACATTTTTTTCAACGATTCTAACAACATTTATTTCAAATATGGTCAAAAGCCTAAGTTAAGTTCCAACTTCAATTTGTCATATAAATCACTTTTTATCTGTAATCTTGTACAAAATTTGACACAATTTCTAATCATACAACAAAAAAACAATGAACAAGAAACTCCAAACTAGTGTAAAATCAACAAAAAAGCGTAATTAAAATCAATAAACAAATAGAAATAAGCAATCAAAATACCCTCTGTCATCTCTGACATCAAATGCAGGTGCATTGGTAGCACATGCAAGAGGAATTGCGCGCTGATTATGGCGTCGACAATTGAAGTCGAACGGCTGAGATAAACATGGAAAGTGCGGCGAAATTGGACGGAGATTTTGGAGGCGAGTAGCCTTGGGCGGTGTCAGCGGCACATTCACGGCCGTGCAAGTAGTAAGTGCCGCCAACATAATTGAAATTGATTGTTGCTGCAGATCGTGTGATTAATTTCAGTGATTATTATATATGGGATTCTACAGTTCTACATAGTGTTTAATGTATTGGGCCGTTGGCAGTTGGCCGCTGCTATTTATCAACAATTTAATTGATTTACAGGCTAGAGTGTTCGAGCACAGAGTCTGCGTATAATGTCGATTTGTAAATCTACAGCAAATGTTAGGTTTGGTAGATTGGAAACCACCAAATATTATTAAACTGCTTACTTTTAAGCTACTAAATTATTTGATAGGGGCTGTAACCTTTATTGTGTAAATACTTCCTTCGTTTTCAAAATAATTGTTCTATTTGTAACAAGCCTTAGTTGCACCACATTATAATTTATAAATGACCAATTAGTAAAAAAAAATATGAACACGTAAAAAAAAAAAAAAAAAAAAAAAACATAAACATTTAGTATTTAAAAGTGAGCATGTTAAAAAATGATCATTTAGTATGTCATAATGAACATGCTTATCATGTAAACATAGAATTACTAGACCACGGCCGTAAAAATGAGCATTGATAGAAGGGGTTTTGAACACATCGTTATATGCTCAAATTCTCTATCAACAATATTTATAAACACTCAACTATCCTAAACATGAGTATAGGGGTAAGTCAAAGGTCGGTCCACGAGGAATGGGAGTCAATGGCTAAAGTCTATGGTCAAGCTATTTCGAAGCTAAGATAGGGTTTGTTGTGTAAGCTATGTTATCAAAGCAAGCTAAATCACTAGAGAAAATCAATATAAAAAACAATAGGGATTATGATCCACATGCAATAAGATAGATATGCTAATTGGGGGAAATCAAATCAACCAAACATTGCAAGCACTAATAGTAAATGCAATCGAAAGGAAACAAAAGGTTATCTCCTAGAGGTCAAGCTAGGTTTCCTCTATGAATGACTAATCAAGTAGAATCACAATTCAAAATCAATCAATCAAAGTAATTCCTTAATCCAGTGGTCATGTCGTGAGGAATTACAATGCAATCTAACTTGGAAATCTAGGTTAGCTACTCCTATCAAGCCAAACACATGCACAATTCTATCCATCAATTTAATCACAACATTCAATCCATCAAAATCCACTAATTAACAATCATCCATCATTCATGCATGCTTCATCATCACCCTAGCAAAGAATCTACTTACTAAGCATAATGGATTGAAAGAAGAAAACTAAGCTAATCATCATCAACATGATCATAATTGCAATACAAACTAATCAAAATCAAACAATCAAAGAACTTGAAATTGCAACAATTATTAAAATCAAAATGCAAAGAAATTGAACTAAGAAGTAGAAGAATCTTACAAAATTGATTGATCAAAGGAAAATGTGCTTGAATTCAATGTGAATGAAGATCAAAATCGTAATCAACAAATTCTCTCTCGAGTTTCTCTCTCTACAATAGTACAAAAATGGAAATTCAAGTCTAATTCTAGTTGATCATGAAAAATAAAAGGAAATAGCTATTATAGTATAACTAACGAAAAGGAAATAAGGTCGAAGTCCAAAAATAGACTCGGTCGGGCGCGCCCTCTCTCGAGCTTGCGTGCTCGTGAAGATCTGGGTACAAAACAGAGACCCCAAGTGGTGCGCCCGCGAAAGAAGCTTGCGCGCCTGCGCACAAGTGGTGTGCCCCCGCACCTCTGGAGCAGGACACCTTCCAAGGTGCGCTCTTGATGTAGATGGTGCGCTTCTCTTGATCGTCACTAGGTGTGGCAGTCCCGAAATGGAATTTACGGTGGGTTTAACACCGAAATCTTGTGCGAGCGTAGCATGAGAGCGCGCAATCACCAATTCTTGAATCTAGTCATTCCTTGCCTTGTGAGAAATGTATGAGCTTCGTTCTTGCACTTTGAGTCTCTTCCAACACGAACAATCATCGTGATGGGTCTCGGGCTTCACCTTACACCTACAAATCAAGAAAGAAGAACAAATAAAGAAAAAAACACAAGAAAATCTACAAAAATAAGAGAAAACACGAAATAAGCAAAGAAAAGACAAACTAAGGAACAAAAGAACAAAACTAAGGGTAAAACAGGGAAAGAAAGTTACAAAAAGAAACCGAAAACATCCTAAAATACTACCAATTGAGTACCATAAATGACACTCATCAAATTCCCCCAAGCTAAACTTTTGCTCGTACTCGAGCAAAAAAAAAAAGTAAGCAAGGAAAATGAAGGGCTTATTCAAATAAAGATAAGAGAGAAAAAGGGATGGGAATATACACTAAAACTCACTAACGTAGGAATCACAAATGTTTTTAGCTACAACAAGCCCTTAAAACCCCAAAGTCGCCTATGAGGAAGATGAGGTCTCGTAAGGGTTTCTAAAATAGTTTAATCCATAACTCTCAAAACAAAACAAGGCAAAGTATAAAACCAAAAATAAAACGAAAAAGAAGAAAAGGGAAAACACATGCTAATGAAATGGACTTTTGCAAATGTTCAAGCACAAATGGATGCAAATCTTTCTAAACAAGTAAGGGAGTGCACGTTCCAAGATATCCAAGGTTGATTGAAACATAAAATATGCGAAGCATAGAGAACTAATAAGACACAATTCACTTTCATCCCAAACAATCTTACCGTGTTCTCCGATCCCTACTAGTTTCAAATCTACCTCTAGTGAGCATCTCAATAATTCCTCGAATGAACCGGAATTTAAGAGATTTTAGGGCTACTCGACATCTTGACTATGCAAACCCACTCCATAAGCTTGACTCCTATCTCCCTCCACCGACTTGTGACTCAACCAAAAGGCTCAAAAGGTCTTTAAAGGGTTGTAACATAAAGGCAAAAAGGGTAAAGGTAGGCTAGAAATTTGAAAAGTGGTGGTATACCTAATTGTGAAGCAAAAGAATGGCCAATTCTTAGTCCCATAATCAAGTTATCACCAAAATTCAAACAAAAATACCAACACCCCCAAGCTTATTCAAAGCAACATCACAAAACTATATACAAAAAGCGTAGATACGCTTCCCCCAAGCTTGAAAGGAGCATTGTCCTCAATGCTTTAAACAAGGGAGATAACAACTACATCAAAATCTTTTTAGCTCTTCATTTTTCAAATATTCTCTTTTTTTTTTAAATTAAAAATCCAACCTTTGCACTTTCTTCCCTTAAAAATCCAACTTTTTTATTATCCCATAAAAATCCAAGCTTTACCCCCTGTCTTCATCTAAAGATCCATTTGACCTGTAACCTGTTAGACAGGTTAAAATGGATTTTTTTTATTTACTCTATCCTCCTACCTCCCCATCCCCCTTCCATGCTCACCATAACCACCACCCCAAAACACCTTGCCACCTGAACTGCCCCTCCCCCCTTTGCCGCCACCCTCCTGCCCCCCTAAACCCCTAGCCACAACCCCATGCTGCATGCCCTAAAACCCCCAGCATACTCCCCTGCCGCCCCAAAACACATAGCAGCACCCTCCTACCGCCCTTAAACCCCCAACCCACCTTCCTACCGCTCTCCGAAACACCTAGTCCCTGCTCCACACAAAGCCCCTGCATCACCAACTCCTCCTTGCCTTCCTTGCTGTCCATACCCAACTTACTATCACCAATTCAGCCCACTTAAACCCACATTAACAAATCACAATTGTAGCAATTACCTCGCTTCTCCACCACCTCACCGTCAACACCAGCACCGTTCATCGCCCACAAAACAGCAACCTCACCCCCCACCACCAATCCCAGCCCCGCGCACAACCACAACAACCTTCACACCGCCCACCAGCCACCGTCGCGCAAATTATCTCAAATCAGACTCCAATGGGTTGAGCGGTGGCTCCATTTCACGAGTTTAGATTGTTCGAAATTAATGAAATTGGGCGATTATGATTAATTCAATTAATCCAACTGTCGTAGTTTTCTGATAATGATGATGGTTGAGTGGTGAAGATCGCAAAACAGCCAAGAGAAACAGGGGAAGTAGCTGATTATTTTGGAGCTGATTATTGTGGTGCTTTCAAGGAAGAGGTTTGTAGGGTTGCCGGGGAAAGAGAGGTGGGGATGGGGAGGGGAAGGCGGTGGGCTATTCCGATTGGGGCGGCGGTGAAGTGTGGTCATTTAGGCCGTAAAAGGGGGCTGGGGGCTTTGATTTTTTTTTTATCTTTTAATTATTTTTTGTTTTTTTTTAATTATTTAAAAAATAATAGACCTATAAAAAGCTAACACGTGGCATATAACTTACAAAAACCGGTCATTAACAAGTAATGGATCTTTACACGAAGATAGGGGGTAAAGGTTGGAATTTTATGAGATAACCAAAAGGTTGAATTTTTAAAGGAAGAAAGTGCAAAAGTTGAATTTTTAATTTACAATTTTCCTTTATTTTTTTGTTTCTTTTTTCTACATTTTCAAAGCATTAGCATTTGCATTTCCTTTATTGCTTTGTCCTTGCCTCTTTTAACTTTGGACGACTTTTTCTACTTGCATTTGCCTTTATTCACACACTATGTACAACACATGCTTGTGTAGCAAGAAAACCAAATAACCACTCTTATACACTCATAGTCACCAACAAACTAAGAACCACATGCTTTACAAAAACCAAAGATGGAAACAAAAATGAAACAAATGGCTAGAGAGCTAGAAATATGGCTAGAAAAGAAGGTAAATGGCCCAAATGGTTAGCAAGGAGGCAAATGTAAACCAAAATAAAAAATATAGAAAAGGAAAAATAACCACCCCAAAAAGATGTCTTTGTCCTTCCCAAATGGTTCGGTCGCGATCTCAGGAGATAAAAGTCAAGTTCTAGATAAAGTAAGCGATAGCCAAGGATCCATGTGCCACTCATGCAAAGTAGGTAGAAGGCTAGAAAAAGAAACCTCACATGGTTGTAGCAATAACTCACTATTAGCTTCAAATCAACTATAGGAAGCAACACCTTCTTACCACGAGTAAGTAGACTAGGGGTTCAAGGTCCCAAAAGTTCTAAACACACTACCTTAGCATACTTTATCCTAAAATCAACCGAGCATACTCTCAAAACGTGCATACATTTAACATTTAGGAAGACATACATCCAAATATACAAGTCCAAATGGTATTATGTCCAAAACAAAAGCAATCATAACAAGAAACACAAACTTTGCTTCAAATAAAAATCTTTTTGGAATTTTCATACTTAACCAAAAATAAAGAAGGAAAAGAAAAGAAAATAAAAGAAAAGAAAAGAAAAGAAAAGGAGAAGAAGAGTTCAAAGGTGCATGCAAAATCATATATATCCCAATCGACAAACAAATGGCCATTCGACTACATCGCCAATGGCCGTAAACACCCTCAAGGTGTTGAAAGAAAATAACCTCAAACCGTTCAACTCTTCCTAAGAAGAAAATAGAAGAAGGGAAAAATAGAAAGATCTCACCAAGCAATTCAAGCTAAGCAAAGAAAAGAAGCAAAAGGAAGCTTACACCTCCACGTAGCTTCTACGAAAGCTAAGCTTGATCTACAAGACAAGATTAGAAAAAGAAAACAAACAAACTATA